CATTTGCAACATCTCAAAAACAGGACTACCAAATTATCTTGAAATATCTGATTGTAAAGTAAGTATGCTCAGACGTCCTCGCCCATTCAAATCAAAGAATCTCCACTTTTTCATCCTTTCTCCTTAGCTAAAGGTCTAAAGGAGAATTTGGACTGGTTTAAAATTAAGTTTCTTTATGAAATTTTGGAAGTTTACCTCCCATGAAAATGTCATCTCGCTATCACTCCTTAGGATAATGGTATGGTTCTTTCGGAGCTCTGTAGTGTACCGAAGCCTGGTTTTCTCGAACAAATTCTCCAATCATGAGACATTAACTTTCTGTTTCCAATAAAACTTTAACTTTTCAATAAAAGTAACTCTCATGCCCCACATGCAATGGTACAGGTGGAACTTTAGCAAATTTGTTTATTTCTTTGTGTTTATCAAGGGCACTGGCGGTGCGTGAATGGCTTTTGACTGAATTACGTACATACACAGAGAGAGAACAATGAGTGAGTGATTAATCATGCACGTGTACATACATGCACATGTGGTCACACAGTGACTATGGTCACCACAGTCACTTCACCACATGATTAACAACCCGTTCCCACTTGCATTGGGAAAAGGTGGATCTTGATCCAGCATTTCGGTGTGATCGTTATCTTACCTCAACGAAACCGCAAGTCGCGTTCCCACTAGCGCTTGATCCACCTTTTCGGACGGAAATGCCAAGCCCGAAAGGACACTGAGTTTGATATTGCGCATGTGCTAGCTTGCTGAGCGCACGCTCTGTGGCAGTGTGGCATGCTGGGGCGGCATGCCTGTGACCCTGCGGTGTTTTGGGTGCAGAGTTCTACTGGCGTGACGACCCTGAATCGGATCGAATGTTCAGCCTAATACATTGTCTCTTCAAACTTTGCTTCCGTTCCGTGTACTCTGTCACAGGCTGTGGGCTATACGCTAACACGGAAGTAGTTTTTGATGGAAAGCAAGTGAAATTCCACAAATGAAAAAGGTTAAGAAACGGACAAATGCGCAACGAAAATTGTGAAAGGGCAAGGCAAAGGGCATCGTGGCACATCGTGGCATGCATACATTGCGCATGCGTGGTGACACATTTTGCTAGCCCATAATTCAGCAGTTGTTTATTGTGCATACTGTGCACGTTAAAAAAATCACACGAGCTACACGTATTTCTTTGTTCATCAGACCGCAAAAGGATCAAGAAAGGTGGATCTGATCCTGATCCACCTTATAACGGTTAGCGTTCCCACTACACACAATTGCCCGATCTGATCCACCAACTGGGGGATCTGATCAGGCAATTTGGCAAGAGGTGGATCAGATCCCCCAATTGGTAGATCAAGTGGAAACGGGCTGTTAGTAATTGTCAGACAAATTCTTCATGTTGCGTTCTTGAAGAGGAAACACAAACTCAAAAGGTAAATTTGCCAACCAATAGTACTAAATGAAGCCATGAAAAAATACATTTTTGACCGCCATAATCGATTTGCAGATCGACCTCGCCTGCATGTGCATTGCATTGTACAGGCACTCAGGAACCTCCCGTAGCCCATGGATATTTGCGAGAAAAATTACATGAGCTGCACTTCAGGAGTTAAAAATGAACAGTATTTTCTTGATTTTTCTCAAAGAAGTAATCTCAAAAAGTGAAACAAGTTTGTGGAATGATATATAAAGCAAATCACAAACCCCAAAATCCACCAATTTTGCCAAATTGCAGTATCTGCAAATCCTATACACTATGTTTAAGCGTCTGCCACTTCTCCACATCAATAGAGGAGATTGAGCTTAGAAAGGTCACCTACTTGGTCAGGCCATAAGCTTCACAATGGAGCTTCATGCTTAGAGCCTACATGTACACAGGCCATGGTGTTCAACTACATGTACA